AGTTTGATCAAAAACAGTATTAGTAATAGGTTGTTGATTTAAAACAGTAATACCTTTATCTTTGGAGGTAGAAGTATCATTGGGAGTTAATTTAGTAAATAAGTGTTCAATGGCTTTGACAGTTGATTGATCATTAGTAACCAGGCTAGTCCGTTTGGAGCGATGACTAGGAAGATTTAGTAAAGGTTGATCTAAGGGTTTAATAAGTTTTGTAGATTGGCCATCTAAAGTAGTTTCTAGTTTATCTAATTGTTTACCAATTTTTTTTAAACATTGATTTGTATAATTGTTTTGTTCAATAACTTTTTTAATTTCAGAATCAGTGCCAGGTAATTTAAAAGGAGAGGCTGGAACTTCAGAACCTTGGTGATCAATAATTATATTTTCTAATGGAAGATGATTAGAACTAACAGAGGTAGTAGGAGAAGTTTTCCATTTATGTTTTGTAATTGTGTTGATCTTTTTGTAATATTGATCCATATAATCAAAAAAAGATAATTCAAAACCATATTGAACCATAAAATCATACCATTTTCTGGTTATTCTGGATTGTTGGGCAGAATTATATTTAGCACGATAAGCATGTCTTTTAATTCTATTTTCTTTGGATCTGAAGTCAATAAGTAATTTATCTAAATCAGGAGTAAAATCCTTTTTGATTGTCATGAGTTGAGGATTGACCGGGGGTATAAATTCTTCGAAATCAGTTTGAGTTGGAGAAGTATGTGAAGCTATTTCTTCTTCTGGAAAATGTGTGGTAGTAGTATAAACAGGTTTACTTATTTGAGAAGTTATAGAATTATCAATCCCTTTTAGTTTATTTTGGGAAGTTTGGTTGGTTGGACCAAGATGGATTTGACTATTTTTGCGAAATAAAGGAGTATTAAATATTTCATCATCAGTTGTAATTTTTGTAGGGACACTAGAAGTACTATGGCGAGAAGATTGGCTTCGATTAAATTTAATTCCAACAGAACCATCATTAAACTGTTGTATATGTTGAATATCTTAGATAGAGGATTGTTGTTGAGTATGTTTGTAATTTTCATTGACAGTAATCCATTGTTCAGGTAAATCTATATTTTGCCATTCAATCATTTGAGGAATATTAATATTGGATTCGCCACTACTACTACTTTGGATTAATAAAGTTTTATCTTTGGGGCTTTTGTGTAAAGCATGAACATTTAAATTGGTTTGCATACATTTATAATGAACACGATAGATTAAAGCAATATTATGAGCTTTTTCTAACATTTCAGTGTACGAACCATGTAATTGAATATTTAATGTTAAAGCTTTAAGTATATGTGGATCATGTAAACTGAGTGTAAAATCAGAAAAACAGTTGAAATGTACTGGTCTTTTGTGAAGACCAGTTTCCATCATACCCATTAAACTATCATTGTAATTAAGAAAACGAGCATCGCGTAAGCATAATAAAACAGAGGTATTTTTACCAACTATAGTTAATGGATTGACACCAACTTGGATTAAACCAATGTGCATAAAATTATAACCATTATCTAAATGTCGTTTGATCAATTTTGAGTCAAATAATTGACAGGTTTGTAGTGGTTTTTCTAAAGCATAGACTTGTTCAATAGTTTTAACATGGAGAGTGACTTTGAAAACATTTTGTAAAAAAGTTGTTTTATATATTTCTTTAATTGGCAGTTTAGGTATATTCCATCCAGCATTAAATTTATCATTTTGTATTTCAACATCTTCTTCATTAATTACTAATCCTTGATTAGGTATAGAGGGCAAAGTTGTTGACCTAGAACTTACTGATGAGTTACTTCTAAATAATCGACTCATTGTTGTATTTAATTAATCAGTTTTACAGATACCTTAATACATACCCTATTCTTGTCAGTTTTCCCTCATACCTAGTATACATACATACCCTATTCGGAAGACCCCTAAGTCCAACACGGCCTAATTCTAAGGACTTACTCAGGACAGGGACGAAAGTGGGTGACTTAAACTAGATGGATATAACAGACTGATCTTGCGGGTGATTAAGATGAACTGAAAACAAGATTAATCAAATAAACAAGAGAGAAGGTTGACCAGAAGTAGCAAAGCAGTTAGAATTTATATTTCTTTAATTAATAATTAATATAAAGAAATATAAAGAATGAATATATGAATTAATATATAGAGAAAGAGCTGGTAGCAGAAATTGAGTTAGCTTGGAAGGCTGGGGGTTATAGTTGTTGCCGATTCTGTATTTTTAACATCTCTAATTCAAAATCCAAAAAAATAAAAAAAAAATAAAAAAAATTCATTGTTTGACCATTGTATCAAAATAAATCTTGAAAAATAACTATTTTAGTCTAGGGGATTTTTTTTAGGGTCCCTGATATTAAGATTTTATAGCATAAAAGACATTCAATATTTTCATAATGTCTAAGGCTTCTCAAATTGATCTAGAGAAATTTTAACCCAGAGAAATTTCAAACCAGAAAAATTAAATTTCTCTGGTTTGTTCATTTTTTTTTATTTTCTATGTTTTGAAATTTTTCTATGGTTGAATTTTCTCTAATTTGCTCACAAATAACTCTGTGATTTGTTCACAATTTTCTTTGTGTATTTGACTAATATTCTCTGATTTACTCATAATTTTCTCTATGTTTTAACCAAATCAGAGAAAATTGTGTCTGTTACTTTTCTGTGTTAATTTTCTCTGTGTGATGGCCAGAGAAATTTGTTGATTTTCTCTGGCCAAATCACTTTTCCCCACTGTGATGAAATTACGCATTCAATTTCAATCCACAATTTCAAGTAACCAAATCCGTTTAACATCAACTGTCTTCAAACAAGACACTTTAAACTCTATCAATGAATCTCTTTCTATCAATGCCAACTTCACCAACGCCTTCGTTGTAGTCGACCCAGAGAAATTTCAATCCATTTCTCTGGTTAGCTCAATTTTTTTGTTTTCTTTGCTTTGAAATTTCTCTGGGGTTGAATTTTTTCTAATTTGCTTACATATATCTCTATGATTTGTTCACAATTTTCTCTGTGTATATTGATATTGCTTTGTGGAAGTTTGAGACCACCAAATACTACAGCATTGTCATTGATGCTCCTGGCCATCGTGATTTCATCAACTCCACCACTGGTAGTTTTGAAGCCAGTATTTCCAAGGATAGTCAGACGCCTGAGCAGCATGCTAGAAACAAACTTCAGCTCTTTTGAAATTTCTCTGAGTTGAGAATTTCTCTGGACCAGGGAAGAATTTCTCTAGACTCACTTCAACTCAGAAATTTTTTCTCAAAGCCAGAGAAATTTTCCTCACCAACCCAGATAAATTCACTCAAATCAGAGAAATTCCCTCTCTCTAAATCACTTAACCCAGAGAAATTCACAACTCATAAATTCCATTTTTCTATCACCATTCGAATCCGACCACTTAGCTTGCTTGATCTTCTCAAGCTGAACCTGAGTATCCTTGAATAGCTACATCCTCTTAACCCCCAAATGTTTAGCGAATTGCATCCTCTACTTCTCCAATTCAATCATCTACCACTGCTTCTTAAATTCCTCATAAAATATGAATCATCCACCACCAGAGACAGCGGTTTCTAAGGAAACACCACCTGCTGGACCACCAGCCCCGGTAGATTAGATTCAAACACAAACAAAATACTGATTTCAGATGAACTACAATCATTATCGACAAAAACACTTATACACTAACACACTAGTTTTTAGATCAAATACATAAGATACAAGTCAAAAGAGTGTAGAACTCGATTATGATTCAAAAACACTAACTAAATTGAAGATCAACGAAGATCAGAGAATCAATTGTTGTGATTGCGAACCTTTTGGAGCTAAGGCTGAGTAGACAGAGAGAGAGAGATAATGCAAAGCCCTAGTGCGAGGACTACATGAGTTGAGTACGAGACTTATCTGTGGGGGGACGGTTACTGGTACACTAAAGGCATCGCCAACGGCGGAGAAAGAGCCTTTTACCGCTGAGTTGTCACGATGTCGACAAGTAGGTCGGCGAAGACGGTGCTGATTGGCGAGCTGGTAATGGTGTCGGTATGAGCCAACAGCGCATTGGGTCATAGTGTCGGTGTGTTCGGAGTTACTACAATGGGCGGTGTGCAAACGATGGTGATCCTCGGCAGCGGTGGGAGATAGACGAAGCACTAGTTTGATGTAGAAGACAGAGAGAGAGAGAGAGCAGAGAGAGAGAAGAGAGAGATCAAACTCAGTTTTTGAAGTCCTTTCGTTTCTTCTTAAATTTATTTGTGATATATGAGTTTGGGGTTGAAGGACCTTAAACATCATAAAATAACATTGTGGATCTCTTCCATTATTAAAAGTAGGAGAGGGACCTTAGACTAATTTTCCCTTTAGTCTATTGTAAATAAATAATTTTCTTGTCAATTTTATTTAGACAAATGATTTAAATTGAAAATAAATTAAAATATTAGATTTAAATTAATAAACTTAAAAACTCAATATATATTTTCATAATTTTCCCAAATATGTAACATAAATTTATGGGGGAATTACAAAAAAAAGAAAGAAAAAGGATTTGACCCTTTTAACAAATTAAACCCTGAGTTTTAATTTTGTAAATTTAAATTCAAATTTTTGATTTTTTTTCAATTTGAACCATTTGCTTATTTTCATTAGGTAACATCTTCAAAAAATAGAATTTTAGTCATTAAACTCATTGAAAAATAATTTTTTAAACATTTTATATATACTCACATTTAGTTTAATAATTAAAACACTATTTTTCTGTCGATTTTACTTATCAAAAATAGACGAATAGTTTTGATTGAAAACAAATCAAAATATTATATTTTAAATTGATAAAATTAAAAATTCAAGATTTATTTTATTACAAATCTAAAATTTTAGGGTTTTTTTATTTTTATAATTGTCCCTAAATTTTTTATTTATTTTTAATTGTTGCCATGCAAAGGAGTGAAAGCAACCAACTTTTTTTTAACGCAATTTGCCTTTCATTCATGAGTTCCCTCTATTTTCTCCAAACTTTTTGGCTTTTCTTTCACATACCTTCCTATCTAGCCCCGACCATCTACAACGTTCCGATCAACCCCCAATTTCTGGACGATTCATAAACTTGTAGCTAACCTTTTTCTATTTTTTTTTTTTTTTTTTTTTGGGTTTTTTGGGTGTGTTGGTGACAAGTGAAACAACAAAGACTTACGTCGAAGATCTGATAATCTGAGAGAAACCCGCATCGAAATTTGTTGATTTTCGTGTATATTTTGCAATTTTGATATCTGGGTCGTTCTTCGATTCGTGATGGGTTGGAGATACAGGGCTGGTTTGTTCCTGATTGCTGCTGTTGTAATCATTTGGGTCACCTCTGCAGAAGTCACCCAGGTGGTCATACTTCTTTCTCTAATTTCATTTCTAGTTTAAGGTTTTAAAATTATGTATTTGCAATGTATGTTCTGCATGTTTGTATGCATAGTTCATGTACCTTCATTTATATGGTGAAGTTATACATTTGCCTAAGTTGATGAATTCTTGTTTGTTTTTGAGGAATTGTCAATGAGATTTGAATTAAAAGCCTGAAATGTCAATTGGGATTCAAATAAAAAGTAAAAGATTCAATAACACCAGTTTGATTGTTAAAAAGTTTATTGCAATTATTTAGTTTCGTGTGTACCCCCTGAAAAACTGGAGGAAAATAAAGCAAAATAGAAGTGAAAACTTAAATACTTTGGAATGTCTTGGTTTTTGGAAAAAAGTTGAAAATTAGGTCTCGGGCTATCATTTGCTTGCAAATTATTTACCCCCGTTTTGGTTTCTCGGTAACCAAACAGAGGATTAGTGTAAACTCAGAGGTTTTTGCTGACAGAAGTTTCACCCTTAAAAACATGATTTGTTCTGAAATTAAATTGTTAAAAATGTTGTTTGCTTGCACTGTCAACTTCCGTCATGTTGTAAAGTAATGAGATTTCCTTATTTTAGTTGCAAAAAAGAAAGTCTTTTTTCAGTCAAATGGAGAAGGGAAAGATTTTATTGCATGTGGCAAAAATTGAATTATCTGGAACTAACATGAAAATAAGATGGAAAATCATTGGAAGTTGGAACTAAGAAAGAAATATGCATTGGAGGTTGGAGGCCTGAACAGAGTTTTGAATTTTTTTATTTTCCCAAGGCCCCTCAATAACCCTTCTCTAATCAGCCAATTGACATATGCCCAAGGCATGCATTTTAAGTACTGAAAAATCCTTCACTTTTCTTTTTTTCTGTTTTTTTCCCTGATGAACTGTTGTTTTGTGGCATAAATATGCAAGAACTCATTAATTCAAAGTGGTGTTTCATGTGTCCTCAATTGACTGTAAAAGTATGCTTTATTTTTTTCTCCATTTTTTATTCATATGACTAATGAATTACTAATAAAAAAAGGGCTTAACTGTTAAGGGAGGCTAATGCAATTATGTCAAAAGTGTAGGGCTAATTGTATTTTCCCTAACTTAAGGGAGGTGAGGTGAGTGTAATTTACCCTTAAATATTTGATCCATCAATGTTTTTATATTTTGTTCCTCGTAATTAATTTTGCTCTTATGGATAATAGCTTTTTTATTATCTAAAAATCACACAATCCATAATTTCTATTCATTAGCTTATTACCTGGGTTATCATGAAAGGAAAAAGACAGTGTATCAAAACTCATTATTACCTGGGTTATTCATTAGCCAGATATTAACTTGTACATACATATCCTTTTAACAGGGTATTTTTACAGATTATAAGCAACCATTTGCAGTGACCTATCTTGGAGTTTCTCTAATGGTAGTTTATCTCCCAATAGCATTCATTAAGGATTGGATATGTAGCATCATAAGAAAACGCTCTTGTAATAATGAGTCTTCTGCTGGATTTAGCTCCCCTTTGAACTGCATTGCGGGGCGTAACATCTTTGAAATTGAACTTGAAGGGAATTTGAATAAAAAAGACAGTGACGCAGACCTTTCTGCTCTGGAAGAGGGAAAGCCATTAGTTCCTAAACACATAGATGATGCAGACGTGTTAAAACAACAGAAAGAGCTTACGACCAAGGAGATTGCTGGTTATGGATTTTCTATTGCCCCTCTATGGTTTGTTACAGAGGTAAATAACTGCTGTGTCTTAGTTTCTTCAACATATCTATTTAGTCAAGGTTGGTTTTTGAGTTTCTGAGTATAGCTGGTACATAAAAACCAACATTATTTCATGAGGGGTTCGTATTGGTAAAAATTTGTAAGAAAAGGAAAGATTCTTTCTCTAAATTTTGTTCCCTCCTCCTTCTAGATCTAGCTTTATGGATGTCCTTTTGATAGTATAGTTTAACAAAAAATTTATTCATGTATTAATCTTGCCATTTACACCTAACTCCAGAATTATGTGCATAAAACATTTTATTTCTGTAGTAGTGTTTTTTTTTTTACTGAACTTGGTTTTTTACCTCAAATTTAGGTTGGATTGCTGTAGGGTTGAGGTTTCAGTAAATTATCAGCTGGACACCTAATGTCATGGCTTAGAAATCCATATTACACTGATTTGGGGATTATACGACCGGCTTTTAGCTTAAGTGATGTAAAATTCTTTTTGTGTTTTCACGACTTTTCTTCAGCACTGTTGATGATTCATCCTTTGCCGCGTGCATTCTTCATGTGTTATTGTTGCTTTGCAGTATTTTTCCAATGCTGCACTTGCTCGTACAAGTGTTTCAAGTACAACAGTATTATCCTCAACTTCAGGATTATTTACTCTTTTCATTGGTTCATTTCTGGGTCAAGATTCCTTGAACATGGCAAAGGTGGCTGCTGTATTTGTCAGCATGTCTGGTGTTGCCATGACAACTCTAGGGAAAACTTGGGTTACAGATGAGTCACAAGAAGTAAATGCTTCTGAGTAAGTCTTTCCATCTTCGTTGATTTTGATTTATGCTTTGATTGTTTTGGCGGAAAATGTTATATGGAAAATGTTTTCCTCATTTTTTGGCGTTTGGTATGGCAGAAAAATGAAAGTCAATGGATAATGTATTCCATGGTCGATGGAAAACAAGCTTATTTGGGTGGAAAATGTTTTCCACTTTTGGAAGGTGAAAAACATTTTTCAGACTAAAGTCTTACCCATTCCACCACCCCACCACCACTAATACAATCACTAGGACATTACTTTCAAGATTGCAACCTAAGAAGCACAAACACTTCTAAGAAGGTAATGTGTCGTGTCTAACACCGACACGACACGACACGACTTGATACAACACCCATTGGACACTTCTCAACACTTAGACACATATGGAACACATTATAGGTTTGAATAAAATAGTTTGGAATCCAATAATAAAACAACAACATAAATTTATACATATCCTCCTCTAGACTCTAAAAATTATTTATCCTTATATATGACATATAACAAATATATAAAATTATATATTTTGCACTTGTCTCCCATGTGTCCTACATATTTTAAAATTTTGCATGTTGGTGTTAGTGTCATGTCATGTCCGTGTCCATGCTTCCTAGATCGCAACCAAACACAGAAAATGTTTTCTATAGAAACAAATGGATCGTTAGTCTTTGTATGTTTATATGTTGTTGGATTCTAATTTAGGTCTGTTCATTTTTCCAAGTTGTTGGACATGACATTGATTTGAATGGCTGAAATCTGGTCTGATGCATTTTCGAATTCTATTCAGAGATGTACTCAAGTCAACTTAACAAGCCTTAGTTCCATTGAATTCTTTGGAGATATGTTATATATCCAAATACATAGACTACCATCATGTACAGAGTTATTTGTGTTGCCAAAACTTTTGTAGCAAAGATGTTTTCAGAAAGTTTTGCCACATCTACTTTTCAGTAGTCTGAAACGCAGCTTTTGTGCCCTTCTTTTTCAGTGGAATGAATTGCTAATAGGGATGTTCTATGATGTATTGCTGATGTGTATGTTCTATGAGATTTTAACTTCTGGTCTCATGCGTTGCTTGGGGTTGTGTGGGGAGGGGGTGGGGGAGCATGTCTGAAGAATTGTAAGCTAATATTAACTTTACTTCCAAGTGTTTTACAAAAAGAAGGAAACAAAAAAATGCAGAGCCAGAGTTGTGGCCTGATAGTGTCCATGTCTCATTATATCAACTGAAAGGCAATACATTGTACATGCATTACACGAAATACTTTCTATTCTTTGCATAATGAACACGGTACTGTTTGTTATTTTAGCTTATCTTCTTCATCAGTTTGTGTATTGCACATGTCAGGGCATTGACTGACAGGTATACTTTTTGTTTCTTTTGAAGAGAAGGGAAACACTCTCTTGTTGGAGATCTTTTTGGCCTTCTATCAGCTATGGCATATGGGCTCTTTACTGGTCAGGCATTTTTTTCGTTACTGAACAGTGAAGTATACTTGATAATATTATGCAAATATTCATTTGACAAATAATGCTGCAGTACTACTCAGAAAGTTCTCTGGTGAGGAAGGAGAAAGGGCTGATGTGCAAAAGTTGTTCGGATATATCGGATTGTTTACACTTGTAGCACTATGGTGGCTTGGTAACACCCTTTTTTTTTAATCACTGATGCTTTGTACTCAAATCATGTTTCACATCATTTTGCTTGCTTTCGTTGCTCTATTTGAACTAATGTCTTCCTCATCATGCTAAACCTACAATTTCAGAAGTTATTTATTTTATTTTTGTTTGGTGCTCCTGTGGGAATTTTGTAGTATTTCTTTTGGAAAAATGTGGTTGAATTGAACTTGTGCGAGCTAAATGATTGAGCTTTCAAACTTGATCTTGAAACTCGAGCAAGACTCTCAACATGGGAGAATCTAGGACATGAAGCCATATTTGAATGGCCCAATTGTCATCTCATGAGGTTATGGGATTGAAGCACATGAAGGAAATAATGTGGTCATGCATATTGGTAGTGGTGTGGCCAGCCACTTGAATTAATGGAGCCATGTACCTACATTAGGGGGGGAAAAAAAAGGATTCACATGGCTGCCCCTGGTAGTTGAAACTCTGGATTAAGATTTTGTTAACTGTTGTACAGTAAAATTGAAGAGAAATAAATACAGTGTGCAAGATCCAAAATTGAAGAACGAGAAAATGCAAGAGGTAACGTCACAAATCATCCGCAATTACTTAATAAAAACAATTTTTAAAAGCTCATTTAATGATCATGTAAGTTCAATAATCTTTCTTCTATTTATAAAAAATACAAAAATAAGTTTGTTAAAGAACTTGTATGAGAAAAAAGCAAAGAAAAATTATCTTTAGCATTATTTATGTTCAACAGGACAACCACCTCCAGGAAATTTCTTAATAGTGGAACAATTGGAATAGTTACTTTTTATTTCATCCACATTTAATTTACCCTGTTTTGATAAAAACCTTGAACACGTGTTGTGGTTCTGATTCAAAGTTATGTAAACTGAAAATGGGGTTTTGTATGGTAAAGAAAATTCTGAAACAGGTGCTTTGTGAAATATATAGATCATGGGCCTCTTGGCTTTATGGGGAAGTTAAGCAATGACAGTTTCTTGGTTAACCTGTGGTATATTGAGAATTTTTGGAAGAGATTGTTTGACAGTAATACTACTCTCTTTCTATTGTATAGAATTCATATACTATTTTATCTTGTATTTTGCATTTCAGTATGGCCATTAACAGCACTAGGAATTGAACCAAAGTTTACAATTCCTCATTCTGCTAGACTGGATGAAGTTGTTATTGCCAATGGATTTGTTGGAAGTGTTGTTTCTGACTACTTCTGGTATGCAAAGCAGCTATTTCCAATCCAATTTCTATTCATAACAATGTTCCTTCCTTATTCAAATCTACTTTTTATTTCTCCTAGGGCATTGTGTGTCGTATGGACAACTCCACTGGTGGCTACTTTGGGCATGTCTCTCACCATCCCACTTGCTATGGTAGCTGATATGATGATTCATGGCCGTCATTATTCAGCCATCTATATTCTTGGTTCAATTCAGGTAATAAGATTGTCTGGAAAAAACATAAAATTAGATTGTAATGCACTTGCTTATTATATCTAAAAAATGATGTGTGGTGTTTGTTGATGGGATTGGATCATCTAAATATAAGACTATGAGGAATGAAAAATTGTACTTCTTAGCCTGTGTTTGGTTGGGAGATTTGGAAAGAGAAAGGAAAAATGTGCGTAAAATTAGGTAAAATGTAAATCTTGATTAAACCATTTTATCCTAAAGCATATGGGCATCCAAATTTTTACTCTGTTGTTGATAAGGTGGAGTGTATATGTTGTTGGATTGGATACTTGACAAAACATAGCATTCTCATATGAACTTAGATAGTGTTTCTTTCATTTCTTGAAATAAAATTATTCGGATAGCGGGGGTGGTATTTGATCTCTACTTATGTTGAGGTGACTCTCTACCTGTGATGTTTGAATACCTTTTGTAGGCTTTGTTTAATTCAACAATTATTTTTGATTGAAATTTTGCAATCATCATGTTTAGATAGGAGGAGAAATGCAATTGGAACTTTTCCATTCTCAAACATTTTAGATTAAACAAAGGGTAAATTATGTAAATAGTCCTTGATGTATACCACTGATTTCATTTTAGTCCTTAATCTTTAATTTTGCATTCAATTTCTACATGGGACGATGAAATACACCCTGGTTTTTTCTGACTGCATGTATCCTTCTTCAATTTCACGCTTTTCTTTCATTTTCTTCCCCCTGACATTTTCCTTTGGTGGTGTTACAGGTATTTCTAGGATTTGTTATAGCTAATATTTCCGATAATTTCTGCCAGAACTTCGGGTTGTAGCATTTTGTGAAATATTTCTTGCTTTGGCAATCATAATTCTTTCTTGGGGCCAAACACCACCTTGTTGATTAAGGTCTATGGAGTTACATAATGTCGGGAAAGTCCTGGGAGAGAGGTTCTTGGCATCTGCAACAAGGAGAGAAGATAAATAATGCTAGTCGTTGTATAACTAAATTTTGAGCAAATGGTATATACAAGTGAGTCTTTCTCATTATGGTTCGAGTGTTGTGTGCCCAATATGTAATAAAAAGATTTTGGCCAAATGGTTCTCATTTTTGTTTTTATTTTTGGGGGCTTGTTCTTAGTTGTATTGTTCCATGGACTGTGATTTCCATGGATGTTTTGTACAAATTTTGTCTACAGATTAATATCCATAATTGTGCTTTCCAATTGAAAGGTCATCTTATGCATAATGTAATATTTCCAATTGATACATTAACATTGCACAAATTGCAGTTGAAGTTAACAGGATATAAGAATGATTATTTTTTAAAATAAATCTAATTATGGCACAACATGGTAACATGACAACTAAATAAGTTAGGTCAGTGTTGAACTTGAATAGCATGAAATTAACAAAAACAACTTATTTAAAGAAATATTAGTTACATTATTTAATATAATAACCATATTAAGTTGAATAAAAAAATATTGGAACAATTTAGTTTTTTTGTGTGTTTTATTTGGGATAATCTAATAATTTCATTTACTATTTTTAAGTCAATCTAATAAATAAAAAATAAATACAAGTTAGGGTTTATTTATTTATTTTTTAAATTAGAGAAATGAAATTATTTCATAGATATTTATTTTCATAAAATTTAACTTGTGAGAAAAAAAAAATATTGGTTTCAGTTTTTAGAATTCACTTTTCAGAAAATTCTATTTTTTTTGTTTTTCATATTTTTTTTTTGTTTTTACTGAATTTTTTTAATATTTTAAGTAATTTTTTTTAATTTTTAAATACACCTAACATAAATATACTTAAAAAGTATAATATTTGTGAAAAAAATCTTTAAAAAATTCATTAAATACCGAATACAAAAAAAATATAAAAATTCAATATATTTTTTATATTTTTATATATTTATTAATTTTTTAAAATATTTTTTCACAAATATTTTACTATTTAGATACATCTAAGTAAGGTGCATCTAAAATGTAAAAAAAAATTGCTTAAAATTTTAGAAATATTCACTAAAAATAAAAAATAAAATATGAAAAATAAAAAACTCAATTTTTAGAAAACTGAAACCAAACACATATTACTGTTTTGAATTTTGTATCTCTTTGTATATTTTTTTTATTTAAAATTTTAAAACTGTACCATTCTTCACAGGAGAGAAACCACAAACCAAAATACAGTTAAAAGCTTAATTACCTAACTTGGAACTCTACGAAGACGAAGAACTCTTTTTCAGGTTTTCTGTTCCGACTCAGCTCTGAAACCCTTCGAATCTCTCTCTCTCTCTCTCTCTCTCTCTCTCTCTCTCTCTCTGTGAGTTTCCAATGGCAGGGAAAAAGAGTTCCAAATCGATCTTACTCAAACTATCACTTCTTCTCTTCTGTTTCTCTCTTCTCTCTTCGGCACTTGCGATCACGCCCGGGTACGTATTCTTTTGATTTGCATTCTCGATTCATATCCCTAATTCACTATTTGTGTGTGTGTGTGTGTGTGTGTTTAGTTGTTGTTGATCTGTTTGGTTGCTGAGAAAATGTGGGAAAAGGAAATCAATTACAATTTAGAATTTTGGAATTCTTCACTGTTTGGCTGTTGAGAAAACTGAGGAAGTGGAAAATCCAAACAGAGAAGCGGTTTTTTTTTTTTGTATTTTGTGACGGCATGGAATTTTATTTATTTGAATTTCTTTTGAGCAGGACTGGTGATGGTTATTCCATAAATGGTCGCGTGAAGATTCCAAGTATGCTGCTTTTCCTTTTTCCTTTTTTTTTTGGTTTGATTTTGTCTGAGTTTTGGTTATTCTTGTATTGAGTGAGATTTGATTACATGTTCAATCTTCAATTTTGTTATTTGGTCCTGCCCAAGTTTGTTATTTTCTCACAAGTTTCTTTTAGCCAAATTTTAGAGTCGTGAATTAGTTGAAAGTCTATGTCCTTTCTAGCAAGTGCTACATGTGATTAGACATTAAGGTCCTTTCTCTTTGTGTGGAAAATAGGTTCTTTAGCAAGAAAGAACCTTTAATATCAGTTTTGTTTTTGTTTTCCAGCCAAATTTTGATTGTTTTGCTCAAGTCAAATATTATTTGGCCGTTTTTGTTTAAGTTTGTTTGGCTAATTTTGCATCCTTTCCCTCTTCTCTTCTTTTATTTTAATCAATGTGAAACCCATCTTAGAACTTTTACATTTTGAATTTTTTTTTATGTTTTGTTAGTAGAGGACACTTGTGTTTCAATAATTTTTTTTACCATTGTTAAGAGAAAAAATTGATATTATGTATATAAATCAAATTTCAGTGAGACCATCATATATATTATTTTGAAGTAATTTATATGAGACTGAAAAGATTGGTCTAGCACTAATATATGTAAGACTGTAACTCTAATCTGAACTCAAAACACCAAAACAAGGCCAAAACAGTCATCAAATTAAATTAGATAACAAAGATTAGACTTGAATTCATATATTTGCAATTCACTGTTCTAAATGTTTGCTATAACCATCAACCACTGGACCTTTAACTTTTTTCTGTGTGTATTCAACCATGTTTCAGACTATGAGAACCTTTTGTAATACAAATTGTCAGTTACTATCATCAATCATCATGGTTTTGCAAGTAAAGCTAAGATTTGGGATCTTCAATAAGGGATCCATGGAGGTCATTATATTGGGGCTTCAGGAAGGTGACAGACAGCAGAGGGTATTTGATTTAATTAGAATAGATGGAGGAAGGAGGCAGAGATCCTTGGTTAGCTGAAACAAGGGTGCCTGAATTGTCCAATTCAGAAACAGATGAATTAGCTAAAACAGGGGTAATAACTCTAGCATGTTTGATGGGCCACTTTTCACTTGATGAGTTGTGTGATGTAGTAGGCAACCTCATTTTCTGTCAACTGATAAGACTGCTGCATTTTACCAAGATTGATATTATTTTTTTAAATAAAAAAAATTGCTCTCTAGGATCAAAATGTCTTTTCCCATGCTTACTGACTTCTCCTGATGATTAATCATTTTGTTTAGTAGGTCTTGGTGCAAAGGGATTTGGACTTCCTGGAAAACTATCCAATGTTAAGGTCACCCTTAATGGTGGCCAGAGGGTCACATTCCTCAAGCCTGATGGATATTTTTCATTGTATCCTACCAGCTTCATGTCATGCATTGAGACTTGATCAATTTTATTTTTGACTTATCTTGCTCGCATTGTATAACTCTGCATTCTTTTTTCTTTCTATGACTGAAATTGTTTAGTGTTCTACACTTTGCTCTTTTCTACTCCTTTTCTCAGTTGGTGGTTGCATCTTTTTGGGGTTTTGTAGATTGATATTTGTTTGAAGTTTTCAAACTTGATTTCCTAATGCTTTAACTGATGGTGGGCAATGCATACATCAACAATGTCGTTTGGTTATACTTCAATAGGTTTCTATAAATGGCTTAGGGATGTAATGCTCATCATCTTTTGGAGGTTGGATAAATGTTTCGAAGTGGTAATCAGATGAAGGGAGAACCCACATGTAACGGATGTGGAAAACTTTCCCAGATTCTGTATGATGTTAGATCAGAAAAAAGTATCAAATAGTTCAAGTAGCTATGAAGGCATGAATTGGAAACTGACAATTCATCCACACCAATAATCATTGGAAGTCTATTATTGTCATTTTTTTGGGAGCATGTTTAGGAAAGTGGGCCATCTGGATGTGGTAAATGGCAATGATGCAAAATGTCTATGGCCTTAAACCTGAACCATAATGTGTTGCATTTTTTTATTTTTATTTCCCAATTAAACCATATGGAGTTTGACCCTGCAACTCTGATTTTCCAAGAAGTTAATATTAGAAATCTAAGAAGCACGGACACTTCTAAGAAGGTAATGTATCCGTGTCGTGTTGTGTCCATGTCGGACACCGACACTCTTTGGACACTTCCCCGACACGTGTCCAACAATCTACAAAACCTGTCCTATTTTTTAAAGACCTGGACACTCTTTAGACACTTGGAGGATACACGTGTATATCTTTTAAACACATGTGTCTATCGATTAGACACATATGAAACTAATTATAAGTTTGAACAAAACAACTTAAGATATAATAATAAAACAAAAACCATATAAATTTATAGGGATTAGTGTCATATTGCATTTTTTATTATCTTTGAATGATATATTTACATATATAACATATAATAAATATATAAAATTATATATTTCCGTGTCCCCCACGTGTCGTGTCTTGTCCTGCATTTTTTGAAAATTAACGTGTTCCATGTCCATGCTTCCTAGTTAGAAACTATAACTTGTATCTTCATGTTTTTGTAAATGTTGCTACTGAATCCTTATGTAGGCTTGGTATAGTTCCTTAACCTATATGCTCAAAGCCATAATGTCCCAACTGGTACACATCTTATTGAAGTGGCTGCAAATGGTTATTTCTTTTCTCCAGTAAGTTTCTCTTCGGATTTTTCATCGTTGAATTTATTAATTGCCAGGTTTCACATAATTCTGTTCTTTAATTCGCTCTTTACTTCTTTCTTTCTTTCTTTTTTCTTAATGCCCAGGTTCGTGTTGATGTTAGTGCCAGAAACCCTGGCAAGGTTCAAGCAGCACTCACAGAGAACAGGAGGGGTCTGACTGAATTGGTTTTGGAGCCTTTGAGAGAGGAACAGTATTACGAGGTAGGTTTTGAGTGGGTTTACGAGCCACATTTTGAATTTTTTTTTCATGTGTTCCTGGCTTTCAGCATTAATTGGTTCTGTAATTTATGTTCCTTATCTTCTTTTTCGGCAGATAAGGGAACCTTTCTCCATAATGTCTCTTGTGAAAAGCCCAATGGGTTTGATGATGGGATTCATGCTGATTATGGTGTTCCTAATGCCCAAACTAGTAGAAAACATGGGTATGTGCTCTATACTTGTTTTTAGTGCTGCTTAGGTTTCAAGCATGCGCTTGCTGTAGATTTAACTTGTGCTCCCTTGGCTTGGATTAGCAAGTGTTTTCAATCCAAGTCCAAGCCGTACCCAAATGGGAAAGCCTTATTTGGAGGACTGAAGTGAAGAAATTTCATGTTCTACCATGATATATAAGTACATTTGATTTTTAGCCCAAATTTTCAAAGGACCTTCAATTAAAACTGTATTCTCCTTAAACCCTTCATACGGGCTTAGTTGCCTTATAGAATGAACAACTAATGCCAATCTCTAGAAACAACTTCATACGGGCTCACTAAACCATTGGTAACAGATGGCCAGAGAGTCTGTTTAGTTATAGAAATTTTTTTTCTCCTGGAAAAGTAATCTTCATACGGGCCATTAAGCATATATCAATATGGTAAAAAATTCATGACAAGGTATGTGGTGGAAATTACAGCAGTTGTAATGCATGTGTTTTTTATTGGTGCAGATCCCGAAGAGATGAAGCGAGCACAAGAAGGGGTTCCATCTCTAGCAAACATGTTACCTGGAACTGCTAGGAGTTGAAAGATTTTGGAACAAGGCAATGTCTATTCTATTAATTTTGGTAGGACGAAAGATTAATAAAAGAATCTGGTTGTAGCTACCTACTGAGCTCAGAAGAAGGATCTTGATTGTCAAACTCTTGTTGGTGGCAATTTTTGATTTTATCACTTGAACTGGTTTTGGGGATGAACCAAAATGTCAGAATTTTTTTCTTCATGATTTAGTTTTATTCATTCTATTAATTATTGATGTTTTTCTATGTATGGTTGCACGCACACATCTTTGTAATATCGGTCAAATTTTCGAACCCTCTTGAAAATTTTCGAACCCTCTTGAAGATTTGATTAATTTGCAACATAGCGCTTTTGATTATCATTTTCTTATTTATATTTTTTTGACAACATGTCAAATATAAATATTATTTATGAGCTTTATTATGGGAAATAGTTTTGTCAAATTTTATCTCTAATTTAATTCAAAATTTAACATTACTAAAATTTGAAACTAAATAACACAACATTAAAAATAAATTAGAAGAGTTGTCAAGATCGTCCCAGCAAAATCTTTCTTTCTTTTTTTTTCTTCCAACCCACTTACTAATATTTATATTTAATAATAATAATAATAAATTATTGGGTAAATTACACTTTGTCCTCTTAATGTTTGCTTAAAATACGAATTGCCTCTTATGGTTTGAAAAATTACAAATACTTTATTGTCATAATTTTTTATTTAACAGAATTAATTGAAAAAATAAAATTTCTATCTGTACACCTATACAATAATAAAATTATCTGAATTATTAATTAAAATAAAATTAAAACATTATTAAAAATTTAAAAATATTTTATTATATATAACTCACATCTCTAATACAAAATTAAAATCTAATACAATAATATTTTTATTTGTTATGTGATAGTTATTATGATATTTTTTGTCTAATTTTTAATATAAATTAATTTTAAGAGTAAATTAAGAAAAATTTGAAACATAAAGAATTAAGGGAAAATTGGTCTAGGGTCCCTCCCCCACTTTTCGTAATGGAAGAGATCCGCGATATTATTTTTTGATGTGTAAGGTCCCTCCCATCTATCACAGAGAAATTCAGCCCTCTTCATTTTCTCTACTCTCATTCATCACCACGATCAAACACGCACACACACAGAGTTCACTGTTTGTGATCGGAAACGCAATCATCATCACTCTGTTTCTGAAATACAGATCGATCATGGCATTTGCATGATCTGCAAGAAGAAGTCGGCGGAGGACGAGACCATCACCGAGAGAGTGAGGGAGCTTGTGTGTTGCTGTGTGTATATCTCTTTTCTTTTTCTTTTTTTTTTACACCAACAACCACTAGCACGATCTTGAACCCCGAAAGATGTGAAGAAGAGAGAAGATGCGAACTCTAATGCTACTTCGTTTTCTTCTTGCTTGGCTCACTCTCGTTTCATCTAGCTCTAGCTCTGGTAATTAAATTCTCAACTTTATGCATTGTTTGGTTGTTAGAGTCAAAGGTATATATTTATGGAAAGCAACATCTCTGGGTTCAACTCTCTAGGTTGATCCAGAGAATTTCTCTGGTTTCAAGCATGGATCTTTTGGCATGTTTAACATTAAAGAAATTTTCCTTAGGTTCCACACATCCAGTAACATTAATGAAATCTTTTGGCAGAATTGAAGAATTTGTAATTCATAATCATATAACCAGGATGTTGCTAGAAAATTCAATCCAACCCAGAGAAATTCTGGGAATTTCCCAGAGAAATTCTTTGGCTAGAGAAATTTTCCAGAGAAATCCTCCAGAGAATTTCTCTGTGAATTTCCCAGAGAAATTCTAGTATAATAACCCTCACCATTGTTTACCGCATAACCACTGATTACCGTTAAACTGAACTGATTATGATTGACAAGCGAACTGATTGAAATACTGAACTGACTGACTGAAATCTAGAACTGAATTGACTGAGTATATTTGTTTACTTGTGCATTTATCTGTTTGATTGTTTGATTATCTGTTCACCTTTTTATGCTTTTAACTGTTAATTGAAGGCCCTATCGGCGGCCGAATCCGGGAATTGATTGAGGTTTCTCGACCCTCATAATTAATGTGATTTTATGGTGTATTTACCTGAAATTTGATTTAGTATGATTAAATTAGATTAAATATTGGGTTCATTGCAAAGTTTGACTTAATTACAATTAGGCCACTTAATGGCCATTATCTATGCACTTTTGAGCCTTATACATTGAATTAAAACACTTTTGCTCAGCTCATTTTGAGCATACCACCGACTTGAGAGAGAGAGTGAGAGTGTCTTCATCTATTTTGCTTGATCTTGCTTGGATTGAGAGGATTGAAGTATAGATTTCATATTTGAGCTCCTAAACCTTGAATACAAGACTAAGGTAGGAAACTCATCTCCTTATTGTTGTCATTGAGCTAGTTCTTGCATGACTCATGCTTCATGGTAGAACTAAGTCATGTTTTGGTTCATTGTTGTTGAAATGAAGCTCATTCCTTGCATACATGTTAGTATTGTTGGATTTTGAGTTGAGTTCTTGGCAAATCGTCACATGCATGTCCATGTTTTGAGTGTAGGCCATGTTTTCATCATGTTTGTGAATCAATTGGCTCATTAGAGCATGTTTTGAAGCTTGAAAGTTATTTGAAGATCATGCATGTCATGTTTGAGGATTGTTCTTGAAAAATTGGTTTGAAATTGGGTTTGATTAAACACCCTTGGGCTTTGACTTCTCAAATTGAGTTTTGAATCATGTTTAACTATGAGTTTATAAGAGTTTTCCAGAAAATGGGCCCAAGAGGATCGGTTTTGATGCATTTGAGCTTGAGTTTGAGCTTGGAGGTGCAATCTGGAATTTCTAGATTTTGCACTCCCGCTCGAGCGGGAGAAGGTGACGTTCGAGCGTGGAATCCGAGCATCCAGTATCTCTGCACTGTTTTACAATCTACTCGAGCGGAGACTGGGTGCTCGAGCGGAGTCTTGTGTCTCAAGCTCGAGCGGGCGTCGAGCGTCCGTCGAGTGGAGATTTCACCCATCTAGTACTTTTGCAGTACGCTCGAGCGGGTACTTTTGTCTGCATGTCCGCTCGAGCGGAGTGACCTACGCTCGAGCGTGACCTCTGTTTTCTGAAAAATCTGAAAATGCTTTTTAAAGTACATCTTTGCATCCTCATCCCGTTCTAGGCATTCTTAGGCCTAGTTTAAGACATCTTATTGAGGATGTAGATGTAGAACACACCAAGGCAAATTAGGGATTAAGTTATTATCTTTCCCAGCTGTGTAGCCTGGTGTGTTCAATCTGTTAACTGTGTAGGGTTGGCGATTGGGGAGGCACGCTCTAGCATACTGTAGCCCAAACTCTGTGAGTAACAACTGTGTAAAGATATGTTCGAAATGATTATCTTCTGAACAACTGAACTGTACTGCTTTCTGAACTGATACTATTAATTGAATGAATGTATGTCCTATGTTCTGAACTGTATTGTGGCATCCTTAGCACCTACTGTTACTGTTACTGTTACAGAGATCTCTGTCGGTTCCCTTGTTGGAACCACTACTGTTTACTGACTGATGGCCATCATTTACTGCTCGGTCTTTTAAGACCTATTGTTTACTGTACTGTTATGCTAATGAATGTACCACATATGACTGTACTGACTGAACGACTGAAATACTGATTTAATGAACTGTTTTCATACTGTAAGGACATTCATTCTTAACCTCTTTATGCATTATGTTATTCACTGGGCTTTGGCTCACTGCTCATATATATATGTAGGTGTTCGGGCACCAGATCGCGGCTAGGAGCGTCAGGGTTACTCCAGTTTTGTCAAGCCAACTACCGTGCCTCACTGCGAGGTTCCAAGCCTATCATGCTAAGGCTTAGGGGTGTTTAGGACTCCCCCTTCTGTACTGTCTTGCTGTTTTGTAATAACCAAATGGATTGTATAGACTGAATGTTTACTGTACCGTTACATAGGGATTGGGTCCCTATTCTGAATGATTGTATATATTGTGTATACCTTTCCACTGAATGTAAATATGTTTGGAAAGTCCTTTTGCATGCAGACTGTCAGAGCTCATTGGGCATTGTTTAATTACTGTATTGGCTTCCGCCAGGCCCTGTACTCTGTTTTACTGTACTACTGTTAAGCAGGCCTTCGGTAATCTCGGATTACTGGCCGGTTACGGTGCTAAACCCATAGGGCCGGGTTTGGGTCGTGACATCTGGGTTCAAACCAGAGAAAATTGAAATTTCTCTGAGTACCAAAGAAATCCAGAGAAAATCCAGTCTGAGGAAACTAGAGAATGAATCTGAATCCAGTGTGAGCTATGAAACTTATGTATAGTTGGTATAGATCTTTGATAATGGTCTTTGATAATTGCAAGCTCATCACTGCCTAGTAAGCCCATACAACTTTGTTGCCTTCAATTTTTAGTCTTAGTCCATACAACCTCCTCTTCTTCTTCTTGCTCAATTCTCTATCTCTCATACAAATCCACAGAAGTATATACAAAGCAGCTAGCACACCAATAGAGATACCTTTGACCCCAATCTATGTGCTTGCAGTGCTATACTGGGTATATAACTTACAAATTGATCCAACCAAAATTAACTAACATGGAGATTACCAAATATACTAAAATGCTTTGAAAGTCAACCCCGACCTTCCTCTTGGTATAAAATATGCATTCTATAATGACGTCTTTAATTTTACATTGTTTACAAAATAACAGAGAATACCTTACCGAAGCATTTATTGGCAATAGAGAGATTTTCGCTACTTAAAGATAATAGATCAATCATCAGGAGATAACCCTCAAGCAGACAAGAATCAACTTAAGAGTATAGTTGGCTTATTAAATAGAACTACAAATAGTAGGTTAGTCCCTCTACTTCACTATAGAAGTGGATTTCACCTTAATGTTTGAGGGAGATGCTGATTTTAGTGACTCACATTGGCAGCAAATTGTGTAGAGAAAATTTTTGTAGTTTTGTGTGGTTTTATCCAAAGAAGATTATGCTAGAGAAAATTTGTGTGGCTTTGTGTGATTCTATCCAGAGAAAATTGTGTTAGAGAAAATTTGTGTGACTTTATGTGGTTCTATCCAAAGAAAATTGTGTAGAGAAAATTTGTGTGGCCTTATGTGGCTCTATCTAGAGAAAATTGTGTAGAGAAAATTTGTGTGGCTTTGTGTGACTCTATCCAGAGAAAATTGTGTTAGAGAAAATTTGTATTTTTGATCAAACCAAAGAAAATTAAACAAAAAACAAAAAAACAGATATGAAGCTATTCAAAGAAATTTGTATGGCTCTATCCAGTAACTTCACCAAAAGTCACCAACCAAAAGTCTTTATGTATAAAAGTCCAAAGACCAAACAATTGTAGATATAGACTTTTGGCAGAATTAACATTAACAAAATCTTTTGGCAGAATTGAAGAATTTGTAATTCATAATCATATAACCAGGATGCTGCTAGTGGAGGATCAAACCCACGGCAGATAAATTTGAATTTTCTCTGGAGTCCATGAAAGGCTAAGGAAATTTCTCTGGCAGTGTCCATGAAAGGCTAAGGTGGTCAGAGAAATTCAAAATTTCTCTGGACCAATTTTCTCTGACTTGAATTTTCTCTGGACCAATTTTCTCTGGATTGTTGTTGAGGGACCTTAGACATCATGAAAATATTTGATGTCCTTTATACTATAAAATCATAATATCAGGGACCTTAAAAAAAATACCCCAATAATTAAAGTGAAGAAAATCAAAAAAAAAAAATTAAGGTCAAAATGAGAAAGTGATCAAACATAAAGGAGGTAAAGTGTAATAAATAGGGAAGATTAGCCTAAGGTCCCTCCCATTTTTAGTAATGGAAGACATCCACAATATTATTTTATAATGACTAAGGTCTTTCAACCCCACAGCTAATATCACAGGAAAATTTGGCTCTCTCACATCAAACCTCATATCTCTCTCTCTCTCTCTCTCTCTCTCTCTCTCTCTAAATCCAAACCTCTTTTCACTCCCTTCAATGGCCACTGCCACCACCGCCATCGCAAATACCATCATCATCGGAGCCAATTTTATCGCCGTTGGAGTTGCCGCCGATGTAGATCGGCTTAGATCTCTGTCTCCCAATGCCAAGTATTATTGACCAGTTACATACCAATGTGTTTGATTGGTGATTCTTTTTTATTTATTTTTCCTATTCTTAATCTTGAATCCGTTTTTAATCGAGATCCGCCAAACATATTTAGGCTCTGGTAGAGACTGCTCACAGTGTGATGGTTTGGAAGGAATTTGCAATGAAGGCTTCCTAGTGCAAGTGTTATTCTGATCTTGGAATGATGCTTCTGAAACTACAGAGTGTAACTCCCTCTCTATTGCTGAATGATAGAAAAGTAGAAATGTGAACATGTGTTCTTTTCTGTCAAGTTCACATTCTTTTGTTTTTTTCCAATTAATAAGCTTGACAGGTTATTCTGATGCTTGCCACTCTTGTTCGATTTTCATTACTTAAGTATTGCAAGGCATCAAATGTGTTTCCTTATTTAGTATTCTCTAACATAATTTTCTCTGTATAGAGCCACACAAAGCCACACAAAATTTCTCTATACAATTTTCTCTAGATCTCTACACAATTTTCTCTAGATAGAGCCACACAAAATTTCTCTATACAATTTTCTCTAGATCTCTACACAATTTTCTCTAGATAGAGCCACACAAAGCCACACAAAATTTCTCTATACAATTTTCTCTAGATCTCTACACAATTTTCTCTAGATAGAGCCACACAAAGCCACACATTTTCTCTAACACAATTTTCTCTCGATAGAGCCACACAGATTTTCTCTACATAATTTTCTCTGGATAGAGCCACACAAAGCCACACAAATTTTCTCTACACAATTTTCTCTGGATAGAGCCATACAAAACCACACAAATTGTCTCAAACACAATTTTCTCTAGATAGAGCCATACAAAACTACACAAATTTTCTCTACACAATTTTCTCTAGGTAAAACCACATAAAATCACACAAATTTTCTCTACACAATTTTCTCTGGTAGAGCCACACAAAGCCACAAAAAAAATTTCTAGCACAATTTTCTCAAGATAGAGCCACACAATGCCATACAAATTTTATCTACACAATTTGCTCTGGATTTCTCTAGTACTCACAAAAAATTGATCAAAATGGTGATTGTTTAATTTTCTTTGGTTTGTTGTTGTCTAAATGGCTTACAGTTTGGTTTGATCAAAAGTATAGAGAAAATTATGAGCAAACCAGAGAAGATTGGTCAAAAACACAAAGAAATTCTCTGGGAAGTCCAGAGGGAAAATCCAAAGAAATTCTGAAAAGAAAATCTATAAAAGGTTCAGAGAATTTTTCTGGGAAGTGCAGAGAAATTTTTAGTTTTTTTCTAGAAAGAAAATCTTTGAGAAGGCCAGATAAATTCTCTAAGTCAAATTTTTTCTGAATCGATATTAAGAGACTTTAAACATTATAAAAATATTAGGCTTCATTTGGAAAGCCATGGTTTGGGCTTTTTTGGCTATTTTAGCCACAAAAAATAAAATAGGCTATTTTAGCCATAACAAACAAAACATCACATCCAACTCATAATCATTACATTCTTCTCTCACAAAAAAACTCAAAAAAACTAAAAAGTCAAAAAACTCTTCCCAAACCAACTTTTAAGCCCAGACTAAAATAATTAAAAAAGCCAAAAAACTAAAAAACCAACCAACTTCCTAAACAGAAGCTAAGTATCTTTTAAATTATAAAATCTTAATAACCGGACCTTAAAACGAATTCCCCTAATAAATATATCCCGAGTTGACTCGTCCAAGTATTACTCGTGTCAACTCGTCTGGGCTCCGTGTCAACGAGAGCCTCGGCAGTTTCTGGGGTGCAGAATCATAATTCACTCCTTGTAGATAATGCAAAAGCACTCTGTTCACAAAGCTTCAAACCTAGAGAGAGAAGAGAGGGAGAGAGAATTAATAGCATCCTCAAATGATTACACTCATCAAGTGCTACAAACCCTTAATCCTAATCCAAACCTCTCTAATCTCTCGCTCACAGAGATTGATTCATACCCATCACCCCAAAATCTCCATCAGCGGCAACAATTATTCCAGCAATGGAACGAGGGTTCGTTGTTTTAGTTCAATGGGACAATCTGAGCCTTCAATCAACGAGAAAAGTAGCAAGAACACCAATGGTGATGGGTCAGAGGGTAAATCGTATTCGGAGCTGTGGTTGTACAATACAATGAGCAAACAAAAGGAAGTGTTCAGGCCAAAGGTGCCAGGTAAGGTCGGCATGTATGTGTGCGGTGTCACTGCATACGATCTCAGCCACATTGGCCATGCTCGTGTCTATGTCTGCTTCGATGTCCTCTACAGGTTCCCGTCTCTACATATATATATATATATATATATTTTAATACATTTGTGTTCTGGGTTGCTTTTTAGTTTTTCTTGTTCAGTGCTTTGTTCTGTTAGACTAATTCCAACCCTACTAGTCATTTATGGCTAAAAAGTGCAATCTTTATTGGGAAAGGCTTCTCTCCTAACTGGAGGTGCAGCCAAACAGCTAGAGCAACTCTAATGCTATTCTTCATTTTTTACTAGCTCAATCATAAACATATACTCTTTATTTTACCTAACTGATTTTTCATCTATGAGCTCCACCGCTACTCTTTATGTTATATATTTATCCATACAAACTAGTTTAAAGAGCATCTCAAGTCTCTCCAAATGTAGCTGAAATAATTTTGTTAAAATAATTATTCGAGTAGCTAGCCCATTAGAGTGAGTAAAATAGGATGGAATTAGTTATAATAGCCAACAAGTTTCATTTAAAAAAGCCTGTTGGAGATGCTCAGTACTTCAACACTATTCTCTATATAGCTTTCAATCCAAACTTATTTTATGATTGATAGTGTTTTATGGCATGCCATGTCAGCATTAGAGATTGAGGGAAAGAAGAGGACTGTTCATTAGAGTTTGAAGAGCTGAGTCTAAATGTAGAGAGCTAAAAAAAAAGGAAGGAGGTAAATTAACTTAGCATTTAGAGAGAGCTGTTGGAGGTGTGAAGAAATGAAAATGACTAGCTATTTTACCTAACAAGCCTTGTTTGAAAAGATTTTAGTCGGAGTTGCTCTAACCTTTATTTTAGTGGGCAAAGATTTTATGTAAGGACTTTGCTTGGTTCTTGAGAAAACAGAGGGAAATGAAAAGGGAATTTTTTATTTTATTTATTTTAAAGGAAATAACATTCACAAAATTACATTTTAGTTGCAGTTTAAGAGTACTTGTACTGCATTTTTGTGTGCAAAACTGATTTGAATTGAAATATGGTCTCAAAAGGGCTGTTTTCTTGTGCATATCATTGGTACTTCAATCATCTCTCATTTTTTTCAGTGAGGGAGCCTTTTTGTCTCTTTTTCCAAATGTATTTCTTAGGCTAAATTCTTGGCTTATTGTAATAAAATATGCTTGTATAATTAATGCTTTGGTGCTGATTGGATTTTTTTTTTATTGAATTTCATTGATTAGGCAGATACCTTAGTCATTTGGGATATGAAGTCAATTATGTTCGCAACTTCACTGATGTTGATGACAAGGTTAGTTTGAATTGCTGCTCTAACAATTTTGAAATACATTTGATAAAATAATTTTGCCCGTGGTTTACAGGTGTTTTAGTTCAAAACTGTAATTTTAATAAACTTGTTATAACAATACCGCACTTTTAAAATTATTTGGCAAAATATAATGCCTTTTGAAATAGCAACGTGAAGATACATCTCCCAATCTAAAAATAAATAAATAAATAAAGATACAATCTCATTTAAAATCGTAAGCAACCTCATTTAAGATTCAATAAATCATGCATAAATATTGGTTATCTTCACATTAAACTTTAGGATCGATTATCACAACAGTTGGAGAGATTGGAGTAGATGTCGTCCATAGAATTAAGGCAGGATGACTTAAATGTAGGAGTGCGTTTGGGGTACTGTGTGATAAGCGAGTACCCACTAGACTAAAAGGAAAGTTCTATAGAATGACTATTAAACTAGTGATATTCTATGAGGTTGAATGTTGGGCAATTAAGAAATACCATGTAGATAAGATAAGTGTTGCTGAGATGAGGATGCTTAGGTGAATGTGTGGCAAGATTAGCAAAAACAGAATTAGGAATGAATATATTTGTGAATGGGTAGGAGTAGCACCGATAGAATATAAGTTGAGAGAGAATAGATTGAGATGGTTTGATTATATACAATGGAGACCAACAGAGGCAGTAGTGAAGAGATGCGATACAATGATAGTAAAGGAAAGTGTTAGGGGAAGGGGTAGACCTAGATTGACATGGACGAGTGTAGTAAATAGAGATATGAATCTCTTTAATTTGACAAACCAAATGGCCATGGATAGAGTCGAGTGGAGAAGAAAGATTCATGTAGCCGACCTCATTTAATGGGACTTAAGGCAAGGCAAGGCTTGGCTTGGCTTGGCTTGGTTTGGTTCGGTTTTGTTTTGTTTTGACAATAAACTTTGTATTATGGTATTTTCACAAAGAAAACATAGGTAAAGGAGTGGTTATCAGAATCGCGATTCGGATCTTACAATCCATTGGGGCAATAATCGATTCGAATCGTGTAAAAAACTCCTTATAGTTAGAATCTTTTGATCCCGGTAATGGGATCTTATAGGATCGTGGAATTCCGGTCCAAATCCGATCTAATCCGATTCAATTTACAAGCCTTGTTTTGTATTGTATGACATATTTTATTGTAAATTTTATGTTTGTTGTTTAAATACCAATTTATATGGTCAAAATAAATAATAAAAAATTTAGTAGTATTGAATCAAATAGACTAAGAAAAACAAATTAGGAAACAAACATTTAAATATTGCGATAATTTAAGAAACTAGTTAGTCGGAAAAACAAACTTAGCTTTAGCGGAGTCTGAGGAGGGCAAGATGATTGCAAGTTTACCCCAATTTTTGGACTATTTTGTGACTTGAATCCGCTCCGTCAGGAATGCTAATGACAAACCTTATCATTCGGTTAAGTCGCTCTTTTGAGTTCTTAATCTATTTTCATATCCAATTTTGTTAAATATTTTTTCTTCACTTTTTATGCATTATTGTAGATTGTAAAGTATTTTGTTATAGAATTCTTCTTCTTCACCCTATTTTTTGATGAAATACAAAACTTTTACCATTGAGTTTTCTATTGTATAATATTATATGTACATTTTACATGGAGTATTATATTTTTTACAATATCTTCACTTCTTTTTAATAGAATATAGGCTCATTCTGTATATACTTTTTAAAAAATGTTTATTTAAATTAAATTATTACGTAATTTGTCTTTTTCGGTAGGATCTTGCGATCCTTGATCCGATTCTACGATCTGATCCTTTAACGTAGGATGCCGATTTTAACAACCTTCCGAAATCCATTAAGGCCCGGCATTTTCAAGAATCATAGGAATTGTAAATTGTGAATCGAAGACTTTCATGCTGTGCATGATGATTTTGTTCATATGGCTTCTTGTTAATATGCTGTAAGACTGAATGCCAGGCCCCAACTGCTTGTTACATATGTATGACAGGATAGCTGAGTCTACAATTTTCAAATTCTGTAGATAATTGCCAGAGCAAATGAACTGGGAGAGGATCCAATTAGTTTGAGCAAACGTTATTGTGAAGAATTTCATCAGGATATGGCGCATCTGCACTGCCTACCACCTTCGGTGGAACCTCGTGTCTCAGAGCACATGCCCCAAATCATTGATATGATTAAGCAGGTATATTATTTATATATGGATTTGATGGTCTTTGCGCTCTTAAACCTTGACTTTGTTGGTAGGGGGTAGGGTGGTTTGGGGTTGGGGGTAACCTTAGGTTTGAATTTGGCCTAGGAAAATGTTTTTTTAAAAAAAAGGAAAAAAAAAGAAAAAGAGATAAGGTTTCTTGGTTAGTACTTGAAAAAATTCTTACACTTTGCAGCTTGGCTATGGTTGTAGAGAGAATGGGCCTCAACTATGGTGTGCTTTGTTTTCTACTCCACCTAAAGTGGTTTCTAGGAAAGTGTTTTTTTCCCCCCACCCCCTGAAACTTTTGGTTTAGTTGAACTTTTGTTGATTAGTATATTTCAAAGAGAAGCAGTAGAGAATCATGCAAAATTTATCTTATTTGATTGATCATTCAGTAGTGAGAATTGAGGTCTGTACTCTTCTCTTTACTTTTGGTGCCATAAAAACTGAGTTTTTTTGGTCTCTCTCTTGGAATTAGCAATTCAATGTAATCCGGAAAACAATCATGGCTTTGAGTTATTTTGTTTTCCTTTGCATCTTGTAATTCATCTTTTTACAAATAAAGTTGTTGCTATAAACTCTTACCCCCACCTCACCGCATCCACCCCACGCCACCCCACCCCACCCAAACTTTTTTTAAAAGCTTATGAAAGTATTATAACTCATCTGCTATTTTGTTTATTTTTTTATTCTAGTATGGAATTTTGATTTACTGGTGTTTTTCGTGACAGATTATTGATAGTGGTTGTGCCTACAGTATTGATGGGGATGTGTACTTCTCTGTAGACAAGTTTTCAAAATATGGACGGTTATCTGGGCGAAAATTAGAAGATAATCGCGCAGGTGAACGGGTTGCTGTGGACTCAAGGAAGAAAAATCCTGCTGATTTTGCTCTGTGGAAAGTAAGTTTTGTAATTATGTACATGCACATGCATTAGCTTCCCAACATTAAATCATCCAAACTTGCAAAAATTGACTGCATATATCTACCTATCTAATTCAGTTGTTTATGTTAAATCAGAATCCAACATGATCATAAATGGGGTTTGTCAGTTTTGCAACATTTTGAACTAATTATTTAGGGTTATCTTATATCCTATATGCTTTGTGAATTATGGTCGAGTTGGACCTCGAATTCAAAAGTTGCTAGTCATCAAGATGATAAAGAAATGTTAATGTCACATTTATCGAATAGCCAAACAAATGTATTTTGGATTTAGAACCTTAGACAAACACTATGTTTTCCTACTGAGTTGGTTTCTATAAAGTATTGATTAAGGTTATTGATCTTTGTTGTAGTCTGCAAAGGAGGGTGAGCCCTTTTGGGGGAGTCCCTGGGGTCCTGGAAGACCTGGATGGCATATAGAGTGCAGTGCTATGAGCGCTACTTATTTGGGCTACTCTTTTGACATACATGGTGGAGGGATGGATCTTATCTTCCCCCACCATGAAAATGAAATTGCTCAGAGTTGTACTGCATGTGAGAACAGTAACGTAAGCTACTGGATACACAATGGATTTGTAACTATTGACTCAGAGAAAATGTCCAAGTCACTAGGCAACTTCTTCACAATTCGGCAGGTAAAGTAATTTGATATTGTTTTGAAATTATCTTTTTTTCTTTTATCCTAAGTCTTAATTAATTTCATGACCTCGTACCACTATTCACTTTTTATTTTGTTTCCATCTTTGGATTGATTTTACTCATCATGTTTTTGTTTTTTTACATCCCTCAGGTTGTAGACCTATACCATCCCCTTGCATTAAGACTTTTCCTAATTGGGACACACTATCGATCTCCAATCAACTACTCAGATGTACAGCTTGAAAAAGCGTCTGACCGTGTTTTTTACGTCTATCAGGTATCACTATACTGTGTTTCTTCTGGCTTTGCATTCTAATCGGGTCATCCTGGTGTCTCAACTAATCTTTTGGGGCTTCCTGCCTGAAAGCTGCATCTGCTATGGTTTTAAAACAGTTTTTTGGAAGTGTTGTACTAGTTATTTCATGCAACTGCAACTGAAAAATGATTTTGATTACCCTTTTTATTTAAGTTTCAAATTTTTAATTTTATTATTATTATTATTATTATTATTATTATTATTATTATTATTATTATTATTTTGTGTTGGCATTGTGGCAAACAAAATCAAGGAGTGTCACATTATAATTCTAGGTGTTAGTTTGCTTTCAAAATTTATGTAGTGATACCCTCTGGAGACACATTTCCTTTTGTTTTTATTTATTTATTAGGTTCAATTGGTTGCAGACATTACATGATTGTGAAGTTCTTCTGAGCCTGCACAATAATGTAAATCGAAAGGACTCAATTCCACCAGATGTCAAGAGTTGTATCAATAAATTTAATGATGAAGTTCTAGTGTCGATGTTGGATGATCTTCACACTCCTGTTGCTTTGTCTGCACTCTCTGAGCCATTGAAAATCATCAACGATTTGCTACACACTCGCAAGGTATTGATTTCTCATCACGAGAATTATACAGTTTTATTTATGCACATGAATAGCCAATCAAAAAAAAGAAAAAGAAAAAGAAAAAGAGGAGTATGCAGATCTGTTTAATTGTCATATCTTATTAAATATTGGCCAGATATTTTGTCAAAAACCCCAAAAAATCATCAATGATATGCTTCTTTTTCAACCCACGGCTACAGCATGACAGGCAGTTGGGGCCTACATTGCTGCATGGTTTGGGTTGGTTTGCTTGACATTAATCTTTAACCAAATTAAAGGGTCAGTGCATCAATCAGATGGTAAATCAGGCCAGAACCCTAAACCAACTGATACAGCAGTAATGAATCAACCTACACCAGCAGAAGGGTTTCAGTTTGGAGTAACTCAAAGTTGTGACTTTGCTGCAATTTTAGGATTGATTTTATCAATTTGTTTAATTCCTGCTTCTGGCTTCTAATTCGTTTATTTTTCATCTCCTCAGCTCTGCTCTACAATTTATTACTTCTGGTTCATTGGTTATAGAAGAAACTTCAGTTTTGACCTTAATATTTATGGCTGAATGCTTCATGCAGGGGAAGAAGCAAGAGTTACGTATAGAATCGCTTGCAGCTTTAGAAAAGACAATTAAGAATCTTCTTTTTATTTTAGGCCTTATGCCAACAAGTTACTCTGAGGTATTCAAAGTTTCTCTTGTTCTAGAAATTCTTTCTGTTGCAATATGGCACTACCATATTAAACAAATGACCTTATTCTGTAATTTCGATTAAATTTTTTTTTTCTTTTTTGGCATGAATTGATTCAAGTAATTCGTGGAAGTCATGAATTACTCTAGGGGTTCTGGTGCCTCCCTTTTACATGCATTTGTGCTGTCTAAACTCTAATATTTGTTTGTTGGGACTCTCCAACCCCCACCCCCAACACTGAAAAGAATTACTTTATTCTTCTTTATGTTTGGGGTGTACCAAGTAATGCATGCTGAATGATATGATGACTCGTCAATACTCACTCATCTCGATCTTGTGTATTGCAGGTTTTGCAGCAGCTGAGGGAAAAGGCATTGAAGCGTGCAAAGTTGACTGAAGATCAAGTTCTGCAAAAAATTGAAGAAAGGACTACTGCAAGAATGAACAAAGAGTACGAAAAATCAGATGCAGTAAGGAAAGATCTGGCTGCTGTGGGTATTGCCCTCATGGACAGTCCAGGGGGAACAAGTTGGAGACCAGCTGTTCCTCTTGCCATGCAGGAGCAGCAGGTTGTTGCAGTTTGAATGGCTTCTGGGGTTGTCGCTGTTGAAACCTGGCATCATTCTGCATTTAGAATTTGGATAATTTTTTCTCCTAATAGAATTTAAGAATCAGGTTTTATTTTGAAATGTGGGCGTGGCACTTATTTATTGGCAGTTCAGTTGAGTGGAGGTAATAAAATTCAGTGACTATAGGGATTTGGCCATGTAAATCTAAGTTCTTTTAATATTTCACGGAGTTTCTATTTGCTACTGTACATAGCCCTCCTTCGCCAATGTAGACTAAGAGTTCTTTTATCTTCCTGCTTTCTTTATTTGCTTTTCGGATTCAGGATCAGTTCTTGCAGATCATTGCCAACTATTTGCAATGTGTACCAGTATATAAGGCTTTTTATGCTTGGCAATGGCTATAAATTCACAAGATGGTTTCCCACCAGAACATGTTGATTAAAAGCCAGGGTGAAGCTAATCTATTCATGCCTCTGGCCACCTCAAATTTGTGTGTGACGTGTGTGGTTTGGTTGGCCTTTCTCCATTGTGTTCCATGTTTTTTGACTCAATGGACTTAACAAGTGCTTTGGAAGTTGTACTTTGGCAACTAAATGCTTGTTAGGAAGTCATGGTTTTGGATCTGAATAAAGCACTAAATAGATTTTGTGTTGACAGTGTGTTGCTGTCTTGTTGAAAAGTGGAAATACCATGGCATGTGCACATGGTGCTCCCAACCAATGAGGATGGACAATAGAGGACGGATGGGGTCAACTTTATCTCCCAGCCTCTTGACCAAGGTGAGTTAGGTTTGCTTAATCCATCTGACTACTGCTTTTATCGATCTGGGAGAATCATGCCAACATTGTCAGACTACTTACTAAATACTCACCGTAGCTGCCTTAAACTTCAGAGGAGTGCTAGTACATCAAATGCTTTGAATGTTTCTCTCTGGGAAATTTTTATATTTCATTACCTGCATCAGATTATATTGACTCCATATGTCATTTATGTGAACATTCCTATTAGGTACATTTTTGTTTATCCAAGTTCTGACCAGTTGACATGCATACTAATGCAAAATTTTACTTGTTTTTCACGCTCAAATTGGTTTTCTTCTTTGTGTATTTATGTCTTCATTTCCCTTCTTCCAGAGTATTTGCAATCCCGCATGGAAATGGGGCTTAAAGTTCCCAGTTGATTGGCAGCAGCAGAGTTTTACTGCATTTGCAATTAGCAGAGTCAGTGGATTCAACTTGTGGTGAGCTTCTGAATCAAACTCGACTCACCTTTGTAAATTTTCTGGACTATATCTACTTATTTTATTTTTATTTATTTATTTTTATGACCGGGTGTCCATATCAATTTACTTCTCAAACATTACTTCTTCCAAAGAACTGTGCACAAGCAATCTGTCATTTACAGTCGTCATTGACACCAACACTCATTGGACACTTCCTGACACTTGGTCTGATTATTTTTTAATTTTTTAGAACTGGACACGCTTTGAACACTCAGGGACGCACGTGTCAATCACTTAGATGCACATAAAACACTTTACAAATTTGAACAAAATAACGTAGGATCCAATGATAAATGGAAAATAGTATAGATTTATACCTATTAATCTCTCATTCTTAATTTAAACTTTAGAAATGAATGTTATATTGTATTTTTTTTTTTTTTGTTCTTTTCCAATGAAATGTTCGTATGTATGATATTTAATAAATATAAAACTATATACTTTATGTGTGTCCCCCATGCTGTATTTATTTGTTTAATTATTTTTGTGGTAGTGTGTCTCTCGTGTCGCATGTCCATATTCATGTTTCTCAGAGTTTGTGCATGGTTGTTGACACAGAGAGTCAGTTATAACTTATAAGCACTTCCTTTTAGTGGATTTTGCATTTATTATGGTGCTTGACAAAGAATTTCACTCACATTCCAAATCTTACTAATGGAAATAAGAAACAGAATTTACAAAATATATATGGGCAAGCCTACCTACAACCAGGAACATGAATGCTGGGAATATGAACAAACACAATAGAGAAAGGAGCGACAGTTACAGGTTCTGAAAGGTTGACATGCATGGGTTTCAAGGGAGGAATAATGCCAGAGGAATTTACAGCAAGTAGTTTCCCATTTAGAAGCACTGTTTGGCTGTGTAAATCGCCATCTTTGGCTGTTAAATGGTATTCTTCTCTTGTAAGTTCACCAAATTTTGAAAACCGAGGCATCCTAGCAAACTTGGTTCTCCGATCATGGTGTGTACGTCTCATTTTCTGTATCCCATTTGTGGTTACATTCGAAACTGAAACTCCAACTTGGACCGTTGTGTTACCATCTAGGTTGATCAAGAGCAATGTGATTCCATGCTGTCACATGTAAACTCAATAATTTAGTAAAACACATATATAATGATAAGTTCACATAGATAAATTACTTGATATGGCTGAATTTGTATCTACATAGGTAGTTTAATTATGTTTTTCTAATTGAAGTGTTGACTTACAGATTTTTTTGAACAGTGAGAGTAAGCACGAATTTTCTTTACCCCAATGAAGTTTGTTGATAGGACATTTCTTCCCATTAACCGGTGCCAAAGAAGAGCACTGCACAATGGTTTCATTAAGCACATAAAAAAACAGTTCAAAATAAGTAAGTTTGGTTGCTCTGCCTCTTGTTTTGGAGCCAAAAAATGGTAATGACAATATCAGCGTGTGTATATATACATATAGATATGCATACATAGATCCATCTTGGTTTTAATTCTCATTCTTATTTTGTGAGAATAAAAGTTGATGATTTTCATCACCATGATTGCTGTGATATAAAAATAATGTTGTGGGATTCAGGAATAGAACCTGTAGTAATCAGGATTTGGAACAAAGGTGGTAGTGTTGAGTAGGCCATAGTTTCCACCTATCAATGTTTGTCTACAGTATGTTTTGGTACCATAAGAGGCTGCCATCCCAAGTTGATCCAAGTACCTGTTTGGTTAGCATAAAGATTAGTCCTAAGCTGAACATACTATCTGAGAGTTGAGAAAAAAAATGATCTTGAAAATAAGTCAGATCTTACTTACCAAAAGCTAAACACAAACGCATTAGTGACAAGATTACGGCCACTGTTATAAGCTCCACCGGCTTCACCAACCCATGCTACTGTTGAAGTTCCAGAGGCTTTTAAAATGCTTTGGAGGTTGCTGAATTGCTGGGATTCACCATCAAGATACGATAAATTCTAATTTGAAGTAATTTAATTGCTGTAGTGATACCTAAAGAAATAGCTACTGTTAAAATCAGATAAATTCTTTTTCAAGTTATATGTTCTATAAATCACACCTCAAAGGAAGAACACCGTAACCTATTATTTATTTTTATTTTTATTCTTACTTTTATTTATTTATTCTTATTTTCGGCATGCCTGGAATGATGTATGAGAGTTCTTACCAAGTTCCCAGCCATTAATAGTGTATCCCTTGTTGACAGTATATCTTATAAGAGATTCTGCATTGCTGGAATTCCAAGCTCCTACAGCAGAACCGTCAGGTCCTACTGTTCTGCCACTTAATGCATTCAAGCCAAATATAATTTTTGCTCTGTACATGAAAAGATCAAGTAATCAGAATAGTGTCGGAATAGGGTTCAATATTCACAAGAACTAGTATGAATTTACAAATATTTAAAGACATTACCATATTATTGCAAATTTTTTGCTTGTTTGGATATTAAATGGTAAAAATGATCTTCTTACCCGGCATTTTTGAAGAAACTGTTTAGTGCGTCCCAGCGGGACATGGGCAAGCAACCTTGAGTGAAGCCAAATATCTCTGCACTATTTAAAACAAATTGTGTACATGGCACGCCAACGCTTTCATATACGACTTTGTCTTGTAAAGTACCACCCAATCTAATTTTCAAGGGAGAGAATGCTGCAATGCAATCAAAGTTGTTACTTATTTTCAATGCCAAGAAAGTGCAATTATTTAGAGTGCTTATAACATATACAAAGTGTTTTCGTACCTTTGATGGCATTCAACAAAATTGGGTTGCTAAGATCCTACAAAAAAGATATGAACAAGTTATAAGAAGACAATATTCTGGTAATCTATTCTTTATTTTACTAACAACCATCTTTGCCAAAAGTCAGTTTTACTGAAAATGATCTCTATGAACATTTTAATAGAGAATGAGAATATTGATGATGCCATTGGTAATTGCAGGTATTGTTATGATTTTGTACACAACATGCTGTGAGATGAACCGGCAATGGAAAACAGCCTGCCAGCAAGAGGGAGTATGATTCCACCTAATAGGTAAGACATATTTTTTCTTTATAAAGGGCACTAATATCATTTCATTTCTACATATTTTTAGCAATTGGACCTTCCTTTATGGTTTTTGATTTGGCTTATAGTCGTATTTTGGTGAATTTCAAAATGTGCTTTGTGGAAGACTATAGAATTTGATCTGAGCATTGGTTTTTCTATGCTACGAAAATGATGAATGTGTATTTTCTATTTTACAAATTCAATACTTTGCCTAGGTATCAAATTTTCAACTTGTTTATCTCTTCCATGCTGACAATCATACTGAAAATTCGTTTGACATGATCTAAAAAAGTCAAAAAGTCACTATCCTATTTAAGTCACATCATCTTATTTAAATCACATCACCTCTCTAACACATCACTTCAAACCCAACCTATATTTCATAAAAAGTCAAAAAATGTACTTATTTAGATCATCCCAAAGCACCCATCAACCTCGAAATCAAAGCCGTTTATCATAAAGTAGTCTGAGAGAGGCGAGATCTCATATGCATAATAAATGCAAAGTTCGATGATAAAAATAATTATGAAGTGGCATCAAGTGGTCAATGGTCATGAGTGATATGTTTATCGCTAAGAAACCATGAAAATAAAAAAAGATGGAGACATTTTAATAGAGAATGAGAATATTGATGATGCCATTGGTAATTGCAGGTATTGTTATGATTTTGTACACAACATGCTGTGAGATGAACCGGCAATGGAAAACAGCCTGCCAGCAAGAGGGGAGTATGATTCCACCTAACAGGTAAGACATATTTTTTCTTTATAAAGGGCACTAATATCATTTCATTTCTACATATTTTTAGCAATTGGACCTTCCTTTATGGTTTTTGATTTGGCTTATAGTCGTATTTTGGTGAATTTCAAAATGTGCTTTGTGGAAGACTATAGAATTTGATCTGAGCATTGGTTTTTCTATGCTGCGAAAATGATGAATGTGTATTTTCTATTTTACAAATTCAATACTTTGCCTAGGTATCAAATTTTCAACTTGTTTATCTCTTCCATGGTGACAATCATACTGGAAATTCGTTTGACATGATCTAAAAAAGTCAAAAAGTCAGTATCCGATTTAAGTCACATCATCTTATTTAAATCACATCACCTCTCTAACACATCACTTCAAACCCAACCTATATTTCATAAAAAGTCAAAAAATGTACTTATTTAGATCATCCCAAAGCACCCATCAACCTCGAAATCAAAGCCGTTTATCATAAAGTAGTCTGAGAGAGGCGAGATCTCATATGCATAATAAATGCAAAGTTCGATGATAAAAATAATTATGAAGTGGCATCAAGTGGTCAATGGTCATGAGTGATATGTTTATCGCTAAGAAACCATGAAAATAAAAAAAGATGGAGCATGTTACATGAGTACATGAATGTTTCTAGTTAGTTATTTATATGTTCTTTATTTTGCTTATTACATATTCAACAACTTGACACTGAGGCTTCGTTTGGGAACAGACTAATTTAGTAACTTTTTGACTATTTGGCTAAAAAGGTAGGTAAAAAAAACTTGTATGTTTGGGATGATTTTTTGGCTAATTACGAAAAGATGTGCAAAAAGTAGAGAGAAAATAGAATCTTTGACTTTTTTGTATTAGTTGTTGGCTTTTTGATTAATTTAGTAACTTTTTGACTTTTTAACTAAAACATAACCTTCCCAAACAAGGCCTCAAAATCAAATGTAAAGATGCACATATTTTGAAACCCTCAAGGGTCACCCCTCCTCATCCCCTCAAAAGGGTCCATTTTTAGCTTCCCTTATTATAAAAATGCAAAACAGGAATAATATAGTATACACATGCACATCTTAATCACTTCTGAAATAGAAATTTGGAAACTCCCTGGACATTACACTTTGCAATTCTTAATTACAGCCTATTGATTCTTAAAATATTGCTGTTTCTTTGTTTAGATAATGCTCTGCGCGGTCTCCAAGATGGTGCAAATTTCTAATATTTTCTTGACAATCAAACATCAAATATCAAATAAAACAGTATGAAAAATACATGTTTCAGTGCCTACCACCTTGGATAAAAAATTTCTTATTTTTTAGGTGAACCTTAATATATAGGAACAAATACGACCAGGTTCAAACAGGAAATCCTTGTTCTTACGGCAGAAGAAAAACTCAGCTGTCCCTAAAAACTCCTATTTGATACAAAAGCATGACATAGAAACAGACAGCATAAGAATTTATCCGTCTCAGAAGTATGAATGAATTTAGTCCTCGTAGGCCTCATTTGGAAACAAGTTATTCTAGTAATTTTTTAATTTTTTTGTTAAAATATGAAATAAAAAAAATTAGGCTTGGTTTGGGAAGTAGGTTGATTTTTTTAGCTTTTTTGACTATTTTAGCCTGGGCTAAAAAGCTTGGTTTGGGAAGAATTTTTTGACTTTTTGGCTTTTTTGACTTTTTTTGTGAGAGAAGAGTGTAATGATTATGGGTTGGATGTGTTATTTTATTTGTTGTGGCTAAAATAGCCTATTTTGTTTTTTGTGGCTAAAATAGCTAAAAAAGTCTCAAATCTTGCTTCCCAAACGATTATTTGGATTGACTTTTTAGTTTTTTACGAAAAAATGTGCAAAAAGTAGAAGAAATTTTTTTTTTTTGACTTTTTGGTATAGGTGATTAACTTTTTATTTTTTTAGTGACTTTTAAGTTAAAATATTGAGTTGCCAAACGATGTATTAATATCTGTTATTTGTTTAATTTTTTTAATGAGCTAATTACAGCTCATGGCTGTCGACAAGGAGATGAAAATACTAAAATTTCTAGATTCTTTACAGATCCGAAAGCACTTCTACATATTTATGTATATTTTTACACAATTTAATGAACTTTTTGTACGTCCACCGAGACTATAACACTCTTTTCGGTGGTCAATAACATTTTTCATTTATTATTACTAAATTTCAAGTAAAAAACTAAAGTTTATAGGAAAAAAACCTTGAAGATTGAACTAATGCCTAGGATTCAAATTTTTTTTTTTAAAAATAAATAAAATTCCTATATTCACAAGGCAACAAAAAATAAAATTAGAAATGAAAAGTACTTAAAAATTCAAACTAAAATATTATAGCCCAATGGATTGTGAATGAGGAGAAAACAAAATTAAATGGTTAGAATTTCAAGTGATTTTTTTTTAGGTACAAAAACACTTCTAAATATTTTTACATATTTTTTACACATTTCAATACATTTTGTGGTTGTCGACCCAAACTAATAATAACTTTGGGCTGACATGAGAGTTTTCTATTTATCATTACCAAATTTCAAGTAAAAAATCAAATTAATGGGCAAAAACCGTACTAGTCAAATTGAGAATTATATTGTGAATCAAAATTTTAAATTTGGGAACAATGAATTGAAAGAATTAAGAATCAATGAGATTCAATACAAATTATAAAAAGCAATGTTACACAATCATAAATATGAAAAAAAGAAAGAAAAAAAGAAAGAAGTAAAACGATTTTGATACATTATAAAATAGATTTATATAAGGATATGATTACACCTAAAATGAAAAGAACTTAAAAATTCAAACTAGCACCAATTCCAAAACAAAAACAAAAACGAAAAGAAAAAAGAAAAAAGAAAAAAGATGGCAACAAGAAGAAGAAAACATAGGGAGAAAGCTGACCACATTGAGAAGAGAAGCAGTTCCCCAACTACAAGTTCCATAGTCACATTTTTCAGGTGGCCACCAATCAATTGTAGCACAAATGAAGTCTTCATCTATCTGCCCAATGGAGGCTGATCCATTGATATAAACAGTGCCTTCACCAATCCCAGGGCCCACAATCCCAGATGCCCCTGTATTCTGTGAAACCACAGTTTTTGAGCCATGGAGGGCCAAGAACATCCATAGACACAACCCTAGGAGGTTAAACAGATAACCCATTTCATAAAGCAATGGTGTTTGTTTAGTTTCAGTCTCTGTTAAGGTCATAGAAATGAATAAGTAGTTTATATACTGAGATTTTGATTGGTGGTTGGATGAAGGACTGTCAATAATGAGAGAGAGAGAGAGAGAGAGAGAGTTGGAGAATTTGAAAATGTGCTGTCCAAGGAGAAAACCATATGTAAATTTGAACCAAAAAATAACAAGCTATGTATAAATTATATTATACTATTGGTTTGTGATTATTTAACTATATTACTATAACACTACTGAGGAAGCAAGTGGTTTGGCTTGAATTGTGCCTTTGGAACTTATAAAAATACTGACTTGGATAGTTGTGATCATATTTTTAATTATCTAAGATCCTTCTTCTCACCAAATAAGAATAAATAATTAATATGTTTTTGATAATTAATATGGTTTTTGGTTAATGAAAAAAAGGTTATGGGTAGTAGTTATTTTTGAATGAATTGAAATATGTGGATTAGATTCATTTTAAGTGTGACCCATAATACACAAGGTTAAATCTACACCTTACACTTTATTTTCTTGATTAACTTTTTTTTTTATAATGTTTTACGTGTAGCTAGAATTATTGGTTACTTTTAGTATGTATTGAATGAATAAATTTGAAAATGGTCCCATGAGAGGTTGATCATTGACATTGGCTTTTGTTGTCTTCCAGGATGTCAACAATAACTGTAAGATTCAGTAAAATGAAAGGCTGTAGCTGGGGGAGAAAAAGAAATGAGGAAGAATCCATTCAGCCAAACAGAAATTCAATTCATAGGCAAGTGTAGTTCTGGACCAGATCAGCCTGAACCCATTTGAAGCTCTACATTTTTTCAGGAGACTTACGTGTAGCTTCTAATAGATGGACTTATTGTCCAATAGGTCCTGTAAGAATTAATTGCATTTTTCATCAAACACTATTAAAAAACGTCACTAATTGTTAATTTTTAGCAACAGTTTAAAAATTGTTACAAAAAATGTCATTAATTATAAGTTTTAGCGAAGTTTAAAAAAATCGTCACAAAAGAACGTCACTAATTTTTAACTTTCAGCGACAGTTTGAAAAATTCATCACAGAAAAACGTCACTAATTGTAAGCTTTATTGATAATTTATAAAAATCATGACAAAAAAAGTCACTAATTATCAATTTTTAGCAACATATGCAAAAAATGTCACAAAAAATTATTTTAACCGATGATTTTATTATGATTTATTTTCAATATGACCTGATGGGATTAAGTTCAATTATTAGGGCATATTAGTTTATCATAATTTTTTTTTTTATTTTTTAGCAGCATGATCTTTGTTGAACATCTTAGTCTAAAATTCTCTCTCAAGATTATATTTTTTTTCTCTGAACCCTGGTAGGCTCTCTATTGCTTTTATTTTATTTTTTTCCCCCAAACCCAAACTTTATCAAGGCACACAACCTTAATTACTAACAAGTCATTTTGGTTCTCACAAAATAATAATAAAAAAGATTTAAGTACGTGAATGAAAGGTTATATATATATATATATGGATTAGATACACCTACGACAATATTTTAAAATTAGAGTTGATAATGATGCATGTATTGTTAGTTAAGTTAAGCATTTGGTTGTTGACATATATGTATGAATAATGATCTCTACCTGCTCACAAACTCTAGCTTTTTAATGTCAAACAAGGATAAGAAGAAAAAAAACACAATCACCAAACACATAACCAAATGGAGAAAAAAGAAAGTCCACAACAAACCCTATTTACAAAAAGCACTTCTAAAGGGTGGCAAAGGTCTCCCTCATGTGTCACACTAGTCATGGTCATCTCATCTCCCTCACTTTTCACTACATACTCTTATCTACTCGTGTTTTTTTTTATAATAAATACTCTTATCTAATCTTTTATTTGAGGGTAGGCTGGTATCTTCAATTATTAATATCCTCTTTTTAATCTTTTGGAGACTCTTGTTAAGATATGAAAAAAGATACTTTTACTATAAGTCTGCATGCGGACACAATAGAAGGAACACAATTTGAGTTCTTTATTTTATTTATTATTTATTATGAGGAGTCTCACCCTCTAATATGTACAGTTATGATTGTATTATGTGATTAGTTTTGTGGTTGGTTCTTTCACATGTGTATCTTTATTTTTCATTAATGTATTTGTATCTTATTTTTCTTAGAATTCCTCATAAATGTATTATGTATGCATGTAGTTTCTTATTCATATCTATATCCATGATTCATAGTAGAAGACCTCTTGAAAGATCAATCCTGTTTTTTTATTTTTTATTTTTTATAATATATGCATTAATTTTTTCCTTTGGATGTATACATGGTGGTCATACCTTTAGGCATATACAATTTCAGACTATTTTATTAAATTGGGGTAAGGCATGCTCATTACATAGTTGGAAGCTTCCCTTTGACCCCTGAGCATATGCTAAAAATATAAATTGATGAAAGCATGAAAGTTACACATTCACAAAGTTGAAACTTGAAAGCAAGAAAGTTGTTGTGAAAGAAACTGGTCAGATTCCTTATACTTTATTAAGAAATTAAGGAGTTGATTTTTTTATTTTTTTTACATAGTTTTATTTTCTATGTATTTGTTTTGAAAACTTTCTCTCTTAATTATAAATTATACTTTATTATCATTATAATCTTTATTTATTAAATTTCATTGGCGCCGACCCGAGGGCAAAAACCAACATACAAGGTCGGACTAATTCTTCATGTGGGGTTAATAATATTGGGCTAGTCGTATTCAACTATGGCGTTGCACATTAATTTCTTATCATCAAAACAGTTTTAGCAGTGTTACAAATTTAGAAAACTTACTCAAAATTTTACTCGGAAAACTTAATATTTGATCCATATTTAATCTATGCGTAGAATTCAACCAAATAACAATTGAATCTACACTATACATTATTTTTTATGATACATTCCATATTTAACAATTCTGGATTCATAGATTTATCCAAAGAGTTTTACTAGATACACAGAATATCAATTCAAAAACTTATAGTTATTATTTGATTGAGATTGATTTTCACTATGAATCCTTCTAAACACAAGTTTAATTTGGACCACATAAATCTAGGGTTTTTTTTTTTTTTTCTTTTGAGTGATCATATCTTTATGTTAAATAATAATTTTTAAAAAAAAAAATGGTTGGTCACCTAATTTGTTTGAGGGAGCAAGAGATTGGAGGCTTGGGACCAATCGCCTCCAATTTTTGGATAAATGTTTTGGTACAACCAATCACGTACGGAGATTTACAGTATGGATCCAGCTAATTATTACTTTTAAATATCAGTAATGATAGAGAATTTTAATATTAGAGTTCTATTGATGTGGTAAAAAAAATAAAAATAAATTAAAAATAAAAATATAAACACACATATCACACTATATGTAGACCATACTCCTTGTTACATTACTAATACTCTCTTTAAAACTCTAAAATTAGAACTCTTAACCTTTATTTTTTAAATATTTGCTTGTGTGTGATAATATATAGTGTGATAATATATAAATAAAAAATTTTTACAAATAAATTTACACAAATGAGATGTCACAGGTGTCTATTTATTTCAAATCAAAAAATTTGTTAGCGTGATTTACTCATTCTATTCCAAAATAATGGTCTCTTTTCAGGAATCTAACTTTTTTTAGTAGTGCAATTATTGCACTTTAAAAAAATTAATTTTCTAAAATTACCCTTTGATAATACATTTTTTAGTTAATATCAATGTCATAATTGTACTTTTTATGTTATTAATGAATTTAAAAGAAGGGCAAAATATGAAATTTATATTATTTTTGTACTTAATTTTTTAAAAGAGACTAATATTTTGGGACGGAGGGAGTATAATTTTTGTCATTTTATTTTTGTGAGACTTTTTATATAAAATTTTTTATTTATAAATTATTTTCCTATATATATGTAGCTCATGAGAATCACCATAATCCCCGTTTTTGTTTGACGAAAACCTTTGAAAATGTTTTTCATCTTTTTTTTTTTTTTTTTTTGCATGATCAATAAATAAATAAATAAAGCTGATTTAGATAGAAAAATAATTTTCACTAATTAAAGACACAATTTTTTTTTTTATTTTCTAAATCTAATGAGATAAAACCAAACCACTATCATTGCCTGAACCTTCATTTTTTTTTTTTTTGTTGAGAAATTTAGCCAAAATCCTTTCATTGAATCCTTATTTGATAAAAAGGGCAGCCCAATTTATTTTGTTTCATAAACCATCTAAGAAGGAATCGCATAATTGAGTAAAGATAAAATAAAATTTTCTTTTTTTTCTTAGACAATATTGGCAGAATAAGGACATCTTCAACGGTTTATCAAATATGAGTAAAAAAAGGACAAATTTCTTTATCTAATATCGCTTGCTCTAATGAAAAAATTTGATTTTTCATCAAATAACCGATCGACCGGGCGGACAACCAGCTGGTCGACCAGTCCATACAAAAAAAAGTTTGTTGAGGAAACCAACAGTTGAATTGTTTGTTGAGGAAAAAACAACAGTTGAAAAAAACAACAAAAGAAGTGTTTTAGCTTGGGATTAGGTATTAGGAAAGCAACATATAAGAGCCCAGAGCTTGGTTATGGGGGAATTCAAGCCTCTGCTACGCCTACCAAATTGAGCTTTGACCTATCAAAACTAAGTTTGGACAACTCCTGTATATACCAACTCAACAGAGACCAAGTGATTTCTGCTGCATATGTATTATGATTGTTGGAAATTTTATTTTTTAGAGGCTTATTTTGGGTCAATTTAGAGTTCAAAATTGAGTGGGTCCCACATGTCTTTTGTGGTGGGTCTAAAGAGGTGACGTATTCATTGCCGCATGGTAAGTCACACGGTGAAGACGGTTCGTCAAAACTATTTATGAGTAAATGGAAACTTGGCGTCGTTTTTGGGTTCGTAAAATGAACATTTAAAGAATTAAATGTGAGTTTCCTTGCAAAGCTTGTCTCACATTGAAACTTTAAGAGAGCTTGTATATGTGTATAAGTTCTAGGTGGCAACACTAGGGTTGGGCCTCAAGGGGCACCCCAAGTTTGCAAAATGGAAGAATTATGGACAAATGGAACCTTGGCTCAAACCACCACACGAGCACGCGCTGCCACTGG